CCTGTCTGCTCTGCTCAGCGCCACATAAACCACCCTTCCACAGTCCTCAGAACACAGCGGCCCCTGTCTGCTCTGCTCAGCGCCACATAAACCACACCCTTCCACAGTCCTCAGAACACAGCGCGCCCTGTCTGCTCTGCTCAGCTCCACATAAACCACCCTTCCACAGTCCTCAGAACACAGCGCCCCCTGTGCCCTCACTCTGGCACAACTGGCTGCTACATTCAGCAGGGCCTTCTCCATCTGCCTGGGCCGTGTCCCTGTAGCAGTGCTGGTTGCAGGGAGGTCACCCTGCCCTGCACTCAGAGGGCTGCGCAGAAGGGTGAGAAATGCACGGCCCTGGGGCAGACGGAGGATATAGATCATGGAGGATATAGATCATGGTGGATTTTCAGCCACACCGCAAACCTCTCTAGAATCCTGTCATGTTAAAGGGCCACAGACACATGCCCATCTCTCTGCGAGCCCCATTTGAAGTAGACACCTGGAGTCATGGTCTGGTGGCCTACCCACATGACCTCAGGGGTAAGAAGTATCCCTGGCCCCTGGCTGCTCTGAGGTGAAAGTGGAGCACAGCCCTTCTCAGCCCAGATCTGAAAGCTGCCACTCTCGCCTGATGCGGTTGTTGGGTCGCAGACTGACAGTGTCTCTGCTGGGAAGTAAGACCCAGGATGGCCTGCTGATTTGTCATCCCACTTTCTGTGGACGAGAGATGAGACTGCAGTGGCTGTTGGGAGGTGGCTCATCTTTAGAGTAAATCAGATTTAAAGTCGGCACTTCTCCACTTACAGACTGAATGGTTAATAATGTGAATTTATAGCACTAGGCTTAAAAGAACGGAGCTCTGGTAGCATAGTGTTTAAGAGTCGGGCTGCTAACCTCAATGCCAACAGTTTGAAACTACCAGCGTTTCCGCGGGAGAAAGATGAGGCTTTCGGCTCCTGTAAAGATTTATAGCCTTGGAAACCCTACGCAGGGTTGTTATGAGTCGGAACCGACTCCACCGCTCACCACCAGCACCAGGTATAAAAGAATGCTTAAGAACTGATGTGTCAATAAACCCAATGCCCCCCTCAGCTTCCTTCTCACACACCCCCCTTTCTACTGCTTGAGAGACATGGCCGGAGGCAGCGCCCTGTCAACTGTGTGTGCCTCCGCCGCACAGCCAGACCTGCTGCCGTCACAGCACACCTGAGCGGGTGGAGGGACGACCCTGGAGCAGGCAGAGCTGTGTCCCCTCTCTTACCTCCACTTTTGAGGAGGTAGCGGTTAACATCCTGTATGGTGGTATTCATTGTTGGCCCCGTGGGGACACTGCCGGGAGTGACGTCGGGGTCATTTTCGGGATCGATGTTCTGAAGTCCTTTCCATGGTACTCCAGGGTGGAATTCTGTTTAGGAAAACCCCAACAAAGCACGGCCACCTATTAGATGCTCATTCTCTTCATGGTATCTGTCTGCGGGACCTTTAAGGGTCTGGTAACAAAGGGGCGAGGTCAGGCTCTCTTCCATCAACTCATCAGCCCTCAGGAACCACCACAAGTAGGCCGTGCCATGGCCCCGTGAAGGCAGTTCCCACAGGGGGCAGGAGAGGGGACAGCAGCGGCTCTACCGGTGGCATGTGGCACCCCCTGACTGTGATCAGACTACAGAAGCCACAGAGAAAGGTCTGTAGCCGACCACAGCCAGCATTTCCAGTGTAGATGCCAGCACTGCAGTGTATGCTCTCAGGCCGGGGCGCACGCCCGTCTGAGGCACCGAGGGTCTGCCTGGTCTCACCTGGGGGCCAGTTAATGCTGGAGCCATTGGAGATTTGATCACTGTCTGATTTGGCACGTGACCAGCTGTGGGGAACAGCTACAGGAGGACTGGCTGGTGACTCGCTGCTCTGCATTAAGTCGTACCGGCCGTAAGAGTCATCGACGGAGGACTTAGCTGGGGGCCCGATGCTCAGACCTCCAGGGATAGCACCTACAGGAGTAACAAGAAACCAAGGCAGAGTCAACGCTCCTGCCTGACAGGTCCCCGTCATTTAATGTCTGTTCTGGAAACTCCGGACGGCATTATGTGATCACAGTCCCATCAAGTGGTTTGCTAAGAAAGAAAGCAGCCCTCCTTTTGTGCATTTCCTCCTTATGATTTGAAAGTCCCCAGTGCCAACAAACAGTGGGGCTCCAGGAGCATCCCAATCCCTGCGATGCCCTCTTGGCTTCCTTTGCTGCCCACCTGCCACAGGCCTTCTGCTCCCAGCACAGGCTCCTCCGTTAGGGGGGCTCCTGGTCTCAGGCAGCAGCACTGGCTCTGTGCACACGCACCCCAAGACCACCTCTCCAAGTCTCTCATGCAGTTTCCTGGCCCTATGCCCACATGGCGGACTCCTGATGGTAGCACAGCCCCCACTGGGCCCAGACACCAGTGGGCTCCCTGAAGGTTTTAACAGAAGAGGCTTTGTGCGGACTAACTATAGATTGTATGGGACTGTCTGTTCTCAATCATATGGGGCTCACCTAGCATCCAAACTGCAGAATGCATCGTGGACATGAAATGACACACATCTGTACAGGCTTTGGCTTTGTCATTTGTTGTACACCCTTGGAAATTAAGCGACTATTTTGAATTTAGCCCAAATATTGTCCTTTAAAGACTGGAACGTTTTAACAACAGCTTTTATGGTGCGAATGGTTCATATGCTCAGCTGTCAACCAAGAGTTCTGGAAGTTCAAGACCACTAAGAAAGGCCTCTAGTGTGGCGCCATGGGATAATGCACTGGACTGCAACGGCAAACCCACCAGGCGCTCCACAGAAACTCCAGACAGGGGCACTATTAGTCAGAACCGGCTCAACGGCATTTAACAACTACAACAACAACAAGAAAGGCCTGCTGATCTATGAAAACCCCAGGAGCACAGCTCTACTCTGACACACACAGCGGTGCCATGAGTTGCAGATGATTTGAAGGCAACTGGTTAAGAAGAGTTTTCGTTTGTCAGGTTGGAAATCTTTCTGAAAGCTGCTCATAACCAACTTTTGGGGGACAACTCTACGGCCTACCTTCCCTCTGGTCTGCTGCCCTCACTTGTTAACAACTACGGAAGGACAAGTTAGTGGGCTTGGTGGGACTAACTCACTGAAACATGTCCTTCCTAAGCTGACCAGCTAAGGGTGAATGTGATCTTGTCCTCCCACAGCAGGACCCAGCTGTCCAGCCAGGAGCCACTAGAAGAATCTGTCCTTTTAGAGTGCTTCATGGTGAGGGACAGTCACATCGCCCACTGAACGTCCTCTTGCTGTTTTGGTACCTGGGCGTTGAGAGCTGAACACAACATCTCACACAGAGACACAACCTTGCAGGCTTAGTATTTTTGTTCCTTCCTCCGGTCTAAGCACGTGACTTCCTAATTCGGTTTTACATATACTTTTTGTTGTAAAGATTTCTCTCAAACGAGATAGGTGAAAAGGGAAGGCGCTCAGGCGGTGACCTAGATTCTTTGCTGCTCTGGGCATTTCCAGCTGCTTCTGGGTTTGTAGCCAAGATCTGACCATGGAGGTTTCAAACAGTTTGATCATCCAGAAGCTGGGATCTTACATACTCTAGGATGGAGAATTTTTAAAACTCAAGTTTCAGCATCAAATTCTTACAGAAGAAATCTGCTAATGAGTACAATGGGGCTTCAATAATTTTCTTGGAAATTGGAATGAAGGAATAATGGAATTTTCCCGTTCTGAAACCCCCCTTGTGTGTGATACACTTGGATAATTGATGAGTAAGAAAGTAGCCTGAAACATAGGCTTCCGGAACCAACATACCGTGCTTGCTGGGGTTCTGGTCCAGAGGAGAAGCAGCGTTGGATAAGGTGTCCAGGGGGTTGGGGTGAGTCCACTGAGGCAGGCGCGACTGGGACTGGGACGGGTCCTTCCCCGACAAGCCGCCCGTGATGTCCACGCTGTTTACATTCATGTTTGGGGTCAGTCCAACTGAAACGAGAGGTGCTATTAAGGCACTCCCCTGCTTTCACTCTAACTTATGGCACCCCAGAGACGGCCTGAAGAGAATTAAGCACAGGGTCGTGGCTCAGGCCCATCAGCCACTGGGAGGGAGAAAGATGTGGCAGTTTCCATGGACACCAACAGCCTCCGACAGCCCGCGGGGTAGCTCCATTCCTTCCGACAGTATCGCTCTGAGTGCGCACGTATGGATTCTAGCAGTTGGTTCAGTTTGGAAAAGATCTCCTAGAGCAGGGTGGGGAATGTCCAGCCGGTAGGCCATATGAGGCCCGAGAAATCATTTGGTCTGGCCTTGCCAAGGCAACCTCAGTTGCAGCCATCACACTGTTGTTGCTGTTAAGTGCCATCAAGTCAGTTCTGACTCATAGCAACCGAGGAGCAGCTGGTGGGTTTGAACTGCTGACCTTGTGGTTCACAGTCCAGTACTGATCCTACAACAGCACCCCAGAAGTCCAGCCATCACATTATGGATGAGTTCATTAAATGTTTGACTAAAAATAGCAGGCTCATTTTGAAGTTGATAATTTGGCATGGCCCATGAACGATGTTATAAATATCTAAATGGCTCTTGGCAGAAAAAAGGTTCCCCACCATTACTCTAGAGGATCAAGCTAAACCTTAATTTACAGTCTAATACTTTAACTTTGCATGCTGCAGAAAGGCAGATATTTTGTCTTTTTAATAACATATACGTTTATGACTATCATTACTGAATTGAGGTGAAAATGCTAACAAATATTTTTGACTAAGTAAAGGCATTCTTTTCATTTCACTTAAAAATAGAACATGTCCAAATAATTAGGGAAATCTTTTCCTATTTTAGGATATTTTATGGCGATGCACTAGATCAAAAGCACTGTTTCAGAATTCCAGCAGGTGTCCTCAGTCTCACCTACGGATCAGGGGAACTACTTCATAGTAGTAGCTCAGAAGGAGTTTGAGAATGTCATCAGTGAACCCTGTACAGGCCGGAGCCTGGATGGGAGGTGGGAGCCTGCCCAAGAGGGCGAGGGAAGATGGGTCCCACTATAGAGAGCGAGCCAGAAGGGGCCCAGAATGGTGAGCAGTGACAAACCGACCTTACACTGTCTCAGGCAACCTTTAGAGCGTTGAGAGTGACTTGGGGTGTGGATACAGCCTTGGGTCCAGAGCGGGAGCACTTCTTACAGCTAACAGCAGGCCCATGTGTCACTGAGGGCGCCCCCACCAGGGACTCACCAAGAGGGTACGGAGCGAAGGTGTTGGGTGAAGACTGCTGCTCTTTGGTCTGCAGGTCGGGGAGGCCGGGAGCCTGGGGGTGTGGGGGGAAGCTGTCCATGGCCGATTTGCCTGCAGAGGGATGCAGAGACAGGTGCGGCGGGGGTGGCGGGGGCGGCGGCTGCTTCACAAGCAGGGCCTGGGCCAGCTGGCGCTGGTGCTGCTGGATCTGCTGCTGCAGGTTAGTGATTGTGCGCGCAACCTGGAGGCCGAGACGCACACGAAGGCACGCACGGGTTAGTAAGGCCGGGAACCATGTCTGTCCCCCCTGCCTCCCAGCACCCAAAGAAATGGCTTTGGGGGCACTCACTTGCTGTTCCTGCTGCCTCATGGGTCCGGAAACATTACGCTGGGCCTGTAACATCTGCTGCTGGATTTGTAAACGTTGGTATGCCTGTGGACAAGGAGAAGGTTCCAAGTGTTAGATAAAAAAAGCTCAACTTCTAGACATAAACATCAAGTTACTCAGAAAAAAAACCAACCACCAAGGTTCTGGGTTTTCTAGGATGTCATTGAAGCCTGGCAGGGGCACCATGCCTCACCAACACATTTTAGGGCACGAGTTTTAATAGCTCGACCCCTGCCCCTGCTTGCTCTGTGCTGACAATTATTTCTCAGTTAATGAAGACATCAAAATACTTGGATCATAGTGAGAAAAAAGTATTCTCATAAAGATTTAGACTAAAGTCCAGAACAGCCTAGCAACTTAGCGGAACACAATAACACTAGTGAGGAGCTCTGGTAGCGTAGTGTTTACGAGTTGGGCTGCTAACTTCAAGGTCAGCAGTTTGAAACTACCAGCTGTTCTACAGGAGAAAGATGAGGCTTTCTGCTCCTGTAAAGATTTACAGCCTCAGAAACCTATATAGAGTCGCTATGAGTCAGAACCGACTCCACGGCACAGAACTAATGAACCAATGAACCAACCAACCAAATAACAGGTTTTTTGGCCAAGTGGAGAACACTGGCGATGGGGCTGAGCTGAGAGCTAGCCTGAACCACGTCAGTCTCGTGCCACCGAGGTTCTCTGTACACTGCTGCTCAAGGGTTTGATCCGTTCACTGTCTGAAAATACTGCGGAGTTCTCTAGACGACTTTTTTTCAAGGACTGCTGGACATTCTTGTAAGAGGGTCCCACCAAAACAGAGTCTAAATACCAGGAGAGATCATACGATTGGGCATGCCTCCTTTGTGTGGACATTATGGGGAAATAAAAGATGTCACTTAACCGAATCCGTATAGGTCTTAAAACTGAGCACCAACACTTGATTCTAGCCTTTTCTGTAGATAGGAAATGATAACAAGAAAACTCCCACAGAACACATTTAAAAAATAGATGCATTAATGTAATCCAACATCTTTCAATGTCTTTCAGCCATAGGGACTCAAGACAAACAAAAATGTAAGAACTGAGTCTAGAGATTGGGACAATGTGTCTGAACACAGCAGCAGCAGGGCTACCCAGGGAAGGAAAGCGGTTTTCCGTTACGGTGACAGCTGTGCCCGATTTTACAGTTTCTCTCCCGCCCTGTAGCCAAAGCACTGAAGCCCCAGAGCCTCACACGGGGACCATCCTCAGCCCACCGTCACTCCTCCCCCATGTGCTGCGCTCGCTCGGGAAACGCAGACATGCTAGATGCGTGGCCAACAGAGACGCAGGGGATGGGTCTTCAGTGCTCCATAGCCAGGGGTCTGTGTCTCTGCCTGCATGGTCCTGCCTGAGGCCTTCTGGGTTGGAAACTGCTAGAGAAGCCTTCTAAATCAAGCAGGTATCAATACATTCGAGAATGGAGTTAACACACTCGGGCCCTTTCATATGAATAAACCCAGGCAGTCTCTGAGCACAACTGGTATGCCAGCTTCCAGGAAAAGCAGCAGGCTCGGAAAATTCAAAATACAGTATGTTACAAAATGTTTCTGTGTCCCCTGGCACTGATGGGAAATGCTGGCTGAGCAGGTAAGCCCCAACACACGTCTGATGAAAAGATTGGGGCCACCTTCTAACCGCAAAGGGACCAAAGGGTTTACAAACTTAGCAAAACCCCCTTATGTGAAATTCGGCCTCAGCCTTTGTTGGTTTGAGAACTGCATTGCCCCAACAAGAGGAAAAGCGCTTGGTTGGTGACGTCATCAGCCGGTCTTATGAGGGAGGGAGGAGCAGGAGAGCACCTGCCTTTGTCTGTAACTTCAGTGGACCTGGACACTCACCAGCTGCAGCTGATAGAGCTGGTTCAACATCGTCATATGCTGAGGGTTCATTGGCGAGGTTAATAGTGCAGGGTTGAGACCAATGTTTTTTGCTGCAAACTGCAAAAGCTGTGCTTGAACCTGTTCAACACCAAAGACACCATCAGGCACTGAATTTCCTACTGAAAACGATTTACTTACCCATGAAGCTTTTGGAACTTCAAGACTGATGACTTGAATGACAATTTTACTGGTCTCACATGTAAAGGTCAAGGATCACTAAAAACGTGTGGACATTTCAACATGCGTCAAAACATGCGTCTGTGAAGAACCACAAGGAAAGACAGGAAGAATGGAGACAAGAGTGACAGCCTGCTGCAGACGCTCCGGCTCTAAACGAGCTCTCCAGGGCTCGGGCCCGGATTTCACATTCTGTCAGAGTACTAGGCAGGACCTGCACATGGCCGGGTGGAATGTGAGACCTTGGGGATGAAGCCATTCCAGTGAGGCTCGAGAGGGCACCTGCCCACCCCTTTCACCAGCACCCCAGTCTCAACTTTTTCTCTCGAGATACCCGTATCCGTAGTCTAGCTGAATGTTCCCAGCTCAGCAAGCGCTCTGCCCTCCACTTACACACTCAGGCCTTTTCTCTGGCCCTACGCTCCCCTGCATGGGCAGAGTGTGGCTGGCCTCCTCCCATGCAAGAGTGGAATTCATGTTCTGCCCTCGCTTTCCAAGGTGTGATGTATACCTCCATTGTACAGGTACGCAAGGTGATTTTAGGTGGGCCGTTGAGGGGCACTTGAAACAAATACTTGTATTAGGAGCCTACAGGCATGTAAAGTCTCTCTAAAAATAAATCTATTTAAACTGAAAAGGAGAGTCCATTTAAAGAAAGATAAGAGGCTGTAACAAGGATGGAGACCAGAGTGCGGTGGTGTGCTGATGACTCTGGTTTGGGAAGCGTCCACTCACCACCCAACAGGGTCTGTCCTCTCTCTCTGGCTGGCCTTTCTGCCACCTGCCCTTGGCCCCTGTGGCTGGCTGTGGCTGTGTGACTAAGTGGGGGAGGCAAGGAAGTGGCCACCTCCATATGGTGCTGTCCGCTGGCCCGGCCTCCTTCCCGTGGCCCTGTCTGTCTCCCTGAGCCTGGTCCATGGCAGGAGGAAGAAGAATGTGTGTCCCACTCCATTGCTGACTGCTGCTAGGTGGTGGGCTTCACAGTCTCAGCAGCACTCCGCCTGTCACTGCCTGCCCCCACCACACAGTCTAGGTGAATTCACTAGGTGCATCCAAGTCATTCTTGTCGAGAGCACCCACACAGAGTGGCAGGTCTATCTTTCCCGGCACTCTACCCATCCCCCCGCAGGTGGGTGCCAGGCATGGTTGGCTGGTGGAGGTGCTCCACAGAGTGGGAACAGGAGAAGTGGTTAATTTTGCTAGACAAACGCACCCTCCCTCCTTCCCAGGTGGCTAGGTCTCCCCAGCTCAGGCTGTGGGTCTGACCTGAGGGGATAGAAACTGAGGCACTTGAGCACGGAGACCGGGCTGGGAGGAGTTGAGAGGTGGCGCTTGCTGCGGTGGTTGCATGGTCCTGGCTTGTGCGGCTCCGCTATTGCCAAACATACCCAGATTGCCACTCGGTATCTGGAGGGAGAGCCAAGCAGGACACGTTATCAGGTGAGGAAACCCGCTCACGGGGACTGTTTCCTACACGTAAATACTCCGCTTGCTTCTGTCTCCAACCAGGGCCACCAAGAGCACCTGAAGTTGGTGGCCCGTGGTGGACAAGCAGTCCAGTAGGCTGGTGCATGCTTTTCAATCGCAGGAGTCACCAGAGTACCCACTCCGGGGCCCCCATGTGGGCTGTACCTCTAAAGATGGACAGTGCACTGTTTCCACAGACGAGCAACACCCAGGCTGCACTCACACACAACTTGTAAAGGCACTAAAGTGTGAGGGACACACAGGGGCTCATGACAAGAGAAGGTGCTGCTCGGTGACACATCAGCTGCTCACATGGGGCTCTGCAGTGACGTTTGCACAGCGAGAGGTGCACTAAGGCTCACTACAGTTAAGCTGATTCCAGCTCAGGGCAGACAGTCTCTTCCTTCTCCTGCAGAGAGGCTGATGGGCTGGAACCGCAGATTGTGTGGTTAGTAGCCCAATGCTTAATCCACTGCACCACCACGGCCCCTTAGCATGGTATACAATATACTAAGACAATATTCACCTAACTGATCTTAGATACGAGCCTCACTTGACTGTAACATGACTTAAAGAAAGATTTTGAAACGGAACTTGTTTGTAATCAGGGACTGCCAGACTTAGCAATTTGAATAATTTACATTTTCAAAAGAGTATTTATGATGAGAGTTAAGAGCTGCAAGCCCAGAGACCCAGGCCTGTGCCCAGGCCCTGCCGAGGCTGGACGGGTGGCCTTAAAGGCTCACTCTGCTGCTAACAGAAAGGTGGGTGGCTAGAGCCCTCCAGCGGCTCTAAAGGAGAGATGACTGTCCACTCTGCTGCATGGGGTTGCTATGAACCGGAATCAAGTCATCAGCATGGCATAGTCACCACCCACAGGGCCAGCACTGCAGACCCACTGAGATCCTGTAAATTTGGTGGTAGTGTGGAGGCTGGAGGAGACCACATCCGGGGATACCGGCGGATATGGGGACTGTTCGGCCGGGCCATCTCTTACAGGGTGTGTGTTGTGTGTGAACCTCATCCCTGTGAATACCAATTAGAAGGGAAGCCCCACACACGGGAAGGGCAGTATTTGTTGCATGAAATGAGAATATTCGAGAACTTGCTGGGGAGAGTGAGACCAAGCTGCCCACAGCCAAAACCCTGTGGCTCTTCAGGTGGGAGCTAATGGCAGCAGGGTTCTCTGATGTTACCCTGGTTCTGGGGTGATGGCCTTGGGGAGAAGCTGATTCTGCAATATGCAGTCACTGAAACTAGCATGATGCGAGAATTCCAATCCTTTTTAAGGGAATGTAAAATGACATACGGCATCCTGGTGTGGCACAGTAGGATAAGCACGAGACTGCTAACCACAAGGATGGTGGTTGAAGCCCATACATACTTACACAGGGCCGCTGTGAGTCATTGAAACCAACTCGACTGCATTTAACAACAACAATAAAGTGACAGAGACAACTTGGATATGCCTCTTAGCACGTAACCCCATTTCCAGAAGGGCCATCCAGCTCTTGACAGTTCTCAGCCACCTGTACAGATCCAAGTCTGTTTGAAAACGCAGGTACTGACTAACAGTGAGAGCATTTATTTTTCAAGCGGGTGAAACCCAAGCCAGGCTTAGCTCTCTCCCGATAGCCTTACCTGTCTAGAAGAATTCAAGTTTTGCATGCCCAGCCCGGAGGCAAGCCCACCCAGGGTCTGACCAGGGAGCGCGCTGTTTGAAAGGGGGAGCTTCAGGCTTGGTGAAGGCAAAAATGGTGAAGGAGTGGGCTCTTCCACGAGGCCGCCGTCCTGATTGGAGAGAGAGAGGGTGAGCTGTGACAAGGCACAACAGTGTCCCAGGAGGGGAGAAGGAATCCAAAGGTCAAAAAAGCGGGAAAACAAAGGGATGGAGAGGACGGGTGAAAGGAAGAGGGGGAGAAAGACAAAGAGAAACAGGATTAAGACGCTGTTTTCACTTTAAAAAGACTTCACAAACACAGACAGCAACCTGCGGTACTCTTAGTCACTACTGGCCCTGTCTGGGGGAGGACAAGGAGAGGGTACAGACACAGCGGCCAGTATTTTGGGAAGACATAGCTCTTTTATTTTCAAACAAACAGGTTCCCTTTGGGACGTCATCTACCAAGACTCTAGGGTGTGCGCTAGGGTGAATCTGCTGACATTCACCTGGTTTTGGCTGACACAGTCATTTCATAGGGTTTAATCTCATACTGGAGTCCTGGGGTGGCGCTGTGGGTTAATGTTTGAACTGCAAGGTCAGTGGTGCAAGCTCACCAGCTGCTCCTCGGAAACCCTATACAGGGTTGCTATGGGTCAGAACCGACTGGATGGCACTTCACAACACAACAACCACCTCATACTAGGCTTGGTGGTGGCGATGTGCTGTGGAGTCGGTTCTGAGCGACAACGACTTTGTATAGGGCTTCTGGGAGCAGAAAGCCTCATCTTTCTTCTGTGAAGCAGCTGGTAGATTTGAACTGCTGACCTTATAGTTAGCAGCCTAACTCATAAACCACTACACTGGCAGAGCTCCTTCTTGCTAGAATACAGAATTCTGTTTTTTCATTGTGCAGGGAATACTAAGTGCCAAGTGCCTTACATACTTATTCACGGAATCGCAGCCAGCCTGCGAGGTCTGGGGCATTAACCCACCTTTACAGACCTGCTGCCAGCAGCTCAGGGCTCCCACTCAGGGCCACCAGCTCGAGCCCCGTTTAAACTGGAGAGGCAGATGAGCAACAGATCATTTCTTTAGTCTAAGTGTATCTCTCAGATTGTTCACTGCTTATCTGAAATTCAGGGCTAACTAGGCCCTGGAGTCCTGCTGCGGTGCTGTAGGATAAGCACTGGACTGCTAACCACAAAGTCGGCAGTTGGAATCCACCAGTCACTCCTCAGATATCCTATAGGGTTGCTGTGATTTGAAATGGACTGGATGGCACGTAACACCAACAACAGAGCTCAGCACAGGGCAGAGCAAGGCCTGGACCTCCACTCCTACAGCTTTCTGCAGTGGCGAGTGTCGAGGCACCCCCATCTGGAGAGGGGCCATCGGCCCACATCTCGAGGGGTCACCTGTAGTGCTCTCTGGGGTGTCAGAACAGGCATGGGGGCTGACACTAGTCAGGGTCACGCCCTCTTCGAGTCCTCTCTGAGAGGAAATACCACTCGACAGTAACTCCAAGGTGGACAGGCCCTATGTACTGGGCAGATGGAAGCAGACCCCTGGCAAGTCCCCACAGTACATATGAGGAAACATCTTTCCATTTTAGTGGTTTCACTCCCAATCACATCATAGCAGACACCCTCGAAACAATGGGTACAAGTCGCTTCAGGGTCACAGACTGCCACACTGATGTCAAGCTTGCATCAGGGACACAGTGAAAACGAGAATCGACTCCTGAATGAAACACAAGTGACCAACAGACCCCTCCAACTCCCACCTTGTCCAGAAAGGTGGGGCGGTCCACGGAAGACTCTTTGGAGATTGGTGGGCGGCAGCCAAGGGGTTTGGTGACCATGCCATTATAGTCGGTCACTCCCAGTCCACGCTTGTCCATGTCCACCTTCTTTTCCAGCAGAGCGCCTGCAACAGGTACAGACAAACCACACTTGACCTGGGACACAGGTGGCATGGTGGCTCATGCCTCAGACTGGGTTTAGGACCCTCCCACCCATAGGGTGGCCAGCTCTGCCGTGGTCAGGCTGTTATCGGCTGGGCATCAGCTGGTTTGCCTGGGCTCCTGCCTGGGGTCTGCTCTCCTCCCGGACTCCCCTGTTATTTTGCAGGGGGTCTCCTAGCTGTGAGAGCACAGCTCTGCCGTCACGGGTCTTTCAGTGTAGTGACTGGTGCTACCTGAGCTCACTGTAACTGATTTCACAACCCTGACAAGTTGATTCTCCACTCCCGCCAACCCACAGCTACTGTCCCTGCCCTGGCATGCAGAAGGCCCAGGCCTCCTGCCCCGGATTTCTAGTCATCGGAACTAAGAGCTCAAGCAGGAGGGCACCTTCTTCCTTGACGGTACAGCCTCCTCTCTCAGTGCTAGCCAGTGCTGGTCTGAAAGCGCCCTCTCTGGTAAATGCTCCATGAGCACTGATGGCAAACACTGCCTTACAATGTCTATTGTCATGTGTCTCCAGAACAGGCAGTGGAGGCAGCTGCTGTTTGGTGACAGACTGGGGGGGAAAACAAGAGCAAACGTTCAACGTGACCTTGGCCATTCATCCCCAGAGCCTGGTGGTTTCAGCTCTTGCCCTTTGCCATGCCCATGGGGCTGGCTGTCCTGTCCTCTATGCCTAGCATGACAGTAAAACCCTCTGGGAGGCCCTGCCCACACCTGGCACCCCGGAGACTGGACCCCCAGCATGCTCTGTGGCTTACTCATGGCCTGATCGAGATTCAGATGGTTGCTCTTCAAGGCCTCTTCGGCTGGCTCTCTCTGCAGGAGACAATTCCATTAGGACTGCCCGTCAGCTGTCCACTTAGAGGAATGAGGACTGGCCACAAGGCAGTGCCCTGAACTGATGTGGGGAAAGGAGAGTGTGGCATCCCAGTAAGACTGGGCACAAGGTCTCATCAGCATCTACCGCACAGCACGGGCTGCCCGCCTCCGGACTCCAGGGCTCTCCTATCAACTGGTTCTCACCAAGAAATGTAAAAACACATTGAAAAACCAGTAAGCCCATTTAGAAAATCATTTCTGACTGGAGTGGGTTGAGCTCAGTGGGAGCTCAAGCTGGGGTCCGAAGCTGGACCCATCCAGCATGGATGGACTCCTGTGGTGGGCACTCACTCACTCAGCCACCTCCCGCCACTCCACAAAGGAACACTCACTCATTCATGGGGCTCCAGGTATCGAAAGGGAAATTCTCTTTTGAAAAAGGATTTGGAAAAAAGGTACATGAAGAGGACAAAGGGCAAATATCGGCACTCCTCAGGTCTGGGGAGCTAACAGAGGGGGCTTCAATTTCAGAAGGGTCCAAGACGTGGGAGCCACATGCGTCTGGGCAGGGTGTCTTTTCGTGGGAGCCA